AACAGCAATATATTACTAATATTCAAATACGTCAGTATTGTCTTTCATTAGTTACTTTCAATTAAAGCACTGTACAAAGTTACATGTCGGAGTTATATTGAAAACGTTCGTGGTTCAAATTTATTTCCTTCTTCACGAAAGTATGGACTTGAATAACATGAGAGCATGTTAAAGTAAGCGCATTTTATAGATTAAGTGTACTAAACAATTTTAACAAACTTGAAAAACTCTATGACGAACATCAGTGAAGTAAACACATTGATTTAATGGCGGCATTATGCTGTATCTTGTTGAAATATATACAACAACAATCGGAACACGGTGTTCCAATGATGTTTATAGATCAAATTATGATACCACTATCAAATACTAAATTTGAATCTAGATACTTGAAACAAAGAATGGTCATTTTGATAGTAGTGTTAATTCGGTAATCATAACCTGACACGAATTCGTGAATAAATAGAACGTTTGTGATAGCAACACGTGACCTGGTACTCTGTCAAGGCTACATACGATAACGATTTCTCCTCAAATTTCGGGGTTCGTCTCAAAAGACAAGATAAAAGTAATTAAAATTATGAAAATAAGGAAAATACTAAATAGAATAACAAAAATGTCACAATTCATGCTAAAAACTAAGTAAGTTTTGTATGAAAATGAAGATATAATTCAATATAAAAACTGGCGACAGGGAAAAATGTGAAGAAAAAAGTTATAAATGGAAAAGTCTTTAAAGATAAAAGAAGCTTAAGAAAATGTATAATTACAGTTAAAACCAAATTTCAAAACTGTGGTTTTAACGTAAAATAAAAACAATTAAAATAGCATGTACATCTAGGGAGGGTATACTAGGAATAATCCATTTTCTCGAGTATCTACAATCTATTGATAAGGTCAGCAACACGTGGATCAGACGCTATCATGTCACGTTTTCATTAATTGTGTAAAATGTGATTGCCTAGATTTGATCGTAATTTGTGAGTTCAGTTTTAAAAAAGTGTGGTAAATGTTTTCGGAATCTCTTTTTTCATCTGCAATATTTGTATGATATATATATGACAAATCTCTCCCAGAATGCAATGTACCTTATATTAAATTGTGATTGTTAAAGAACGACAGCTGTGTGGTAGAGGTTTTTATATCAACGACCACCTCATATCTATACCCTTATATGCCATCAGGATGTGTGTCAATAATTTTCTAACAAAATAATACTTAGTGATCAGAGGCATATATATATAGAAATATGTCAATATACAGTCTTAGATCTATTTTAATTGAAAACTAGTAAAATACTTACAGAAAATACGAAATACTTGAGAGCTATTATGTTTTAAATACTTCTTAGTATCGTGGTATAATGCCATATGTTCTATATGTTAATCTCGGATCAAACAAGGTTTACATGGTGGGTGTCATCGACGAAGCAGAAGACGCTTACTCTTCTGGAACACCTGGAGATTAGATTGTGATTTTGTTATCTTCCCTTTTTGTTCAACAATAAATATGCTCTACATTTGTATTGTATTTTCTGAAAAAATATGAGCATGTGATAGATATAATAGTATATAGTGTATACTTATATGAAAGAGTCCATTTCTTATGTTCAATTTTTATTGTGAAGAAGCCAGCATGAAATAATCTGAGTCTTTGAGTTCTTAATGTTGTTGTTATAATATTTGACAGTTGATTAATCTAAATAAAGAAAGCAACACAGTTTAGCAGCTGCGAAATATCTATGTTCATTTTTATTTCAGTATACCATTAGGAGTAAGATGTTTACCTAGATTACCATGGATATGGAGTTTAGCGGTTTGATGTATTTGCTTGCCACGGTAACATCATACAAAGTTCCTTGGGACCTGTTTGTGACTACCATGAATCTTTCAGATTTAAAAAGCAGTTACATATGCAGGTGAATAGCTTTTAATATCTTATATTCTGTGACAAGAAAGACTTTTGTGAAATGGTACCTCCCAGCGATATACTTTGACTTGCTTGCTTTTAGATGAGAAATTTCCAACATCAACATATATATTAAAAGGTATTGAAACGTTATCAACTTATGTTGATGACATGTGCCTTTTTCTAAAGATGGTAAAGCTTAGATTCTTTTCCTATCCTACACTCTCGCTATGAAACGTGTCAATGTTTACATGTGTCATGTTTTATTTATGTCATAATCTGTTTACATTTTCACATAGTACATTTCATTCATTTTATTTATCTATACATGTTTTAATCTCTATTCCTGACCATGTGTATTTTACATCTTAGAAAAAAATATGAACTGCGACCTCAATGATAAATAGGTTTCAATTCATCGTATGCATTACCTTCCCCTTTCGGTTTAAACAGACGCAGTGTAAATAAACACATTGCTGACGGGTAGAGACACTTAAGATAGAACCGTTACATACCCTGAACTATGACTTTCACATTTGTGTAAAATGGGTGGGTTCCTCCGTTGTCGAGGATGGAAAAATCTTCTTTTTATAATATGGCATTTACACCTATCATACATCATTCCTGAAGTTTCTCAACTTGTCGGGAAGCCTTTTAATGTGACCTGGTCGGTCATTTAATATGATTCTGGAAGATAAATATTATATTGAAGACAAAAAATTAACTAAGATTTTAGAATATTCGTCTGCAATCGAAGATAAAAATGTAAACGTTGAACAAGATACGGGGTAAACATAGTTAAGGATTATATCGAACACACCGACACCGTAATATATATTCAACTCAGACAGGCTATTATTGTATCATACGGGTATGTGCACTCTTGTTCTCTAAAAGGCCTTCTTTTCTAGTCTCCGATAAACAATTAGTTGCACATGATACAGGGTAAAAATTAGAACTGTCATGAATTCTCAACTCGACTAAGATATTGTTGTCCAACCATGATTTGCAAAATAGGGGGCTTGACTTGGTGTCTATATAGAAAAAAAAAACTGAGTTTGAATTGCTTGAGTTGAACTACAGATAATGTTTGTAAAATGTCTTTTCATTGTGAGAAAAACAGTTAATTCATAAATTCTCAAGTATGTCAGGGCATAGTCAAATATGGGTAAGGCAATAGTAATTTCTTTGTTGCCTTGGATAAATCGGGAACATTTGATCTCTCAAATCCATCCACTCATCCTTGCTCAAGTGTATACATTAAATCGAAGTCTGCAATCTCTGATTGCAAACGTCATAACAGATACTCATGAGACAAAATAAGTAATTCAGGCTCCAATATTACCATAGCAACTTTATAATAACAATAAAAAATAAATGCCTATCCACATTCTTTTCAGAAAACTAGGATTTCGACTAAATGCTATCTTATTTAAAAACAAATCTTATTCTGAAATATTCGCACGCATAACAAAATATTTCTTTTCTTGTGAAAATAATACAATATTACAACTATTTTGCTATTGCATCATTCGACTGTGTATTTTTATTTGCTTTGTCACCAAAATAACTTGCAAAAACACGTGTTACTGCTGGTAGAAGTGGGTTGGGCTTTTTCAAGCAATCTGGTTGGTTAAAATATGTAACAGATGTTATTATTGCATATAAACATAAATCAGGACCGGGTTCTTTACATGTAATACACGAAATCTACTGGATTAAGGAGAACGTCGCTACCATAGAGTTGGTAGGTAGTTTTTATTTCTTTTGAGGTTTCTTGTCGATGTTTCTTATAGTATAAGGAAACCAAAATACGTATCTTTAAACAAGTAAATTATACGTAATCAGCTTGTTTTTTTTTAAGTATTCCGAAGATAAACGTCTGGCCACGTTTTTTGTTTATAGTAGAAACTAACTCATTAATCTGAGAACGAACAGAAAATACATGGAATCTCTTATTGGACAAATACATTGAATTACATTGTTTGAAAAATGCTCGCACATGAGTGCTCTACACGCAACGGCGTATACGCTGTGGTGTTCTATTTAAGATCTATATCTCCAGTACAGCACAGAGTATACTATCTAAATATATTTATCTATATTTGTTGTGCTTTACATTGTAATGTATACTGAATTAGGTCGAATATCATTATCAAACACTTAATAACAAATAAATTTGCATTGAAACAAAAAACAAAAAAAAAAAAAAAAAAAAAAAAAAAAAAAAAAACACACACAAAGAAAAGCACACACAAACAATGATAGATTTAGCAATAATTAAGAGTATGCTGTTGGCTATCCTTTCCATCCCAGCTTTAATTTTTTTTTCTATTTTTCATTTTTCAATTTTGTTTTTCAAATTCATAGAGAACTTTATTTGATTTGATGTAATCATATATAGAATACGTTTTGAAACGTTCCTTTCATGTAATTGGGGTCGGAATAGATAATAGTTCGAAACCGGATGAAACCGGATAAAGGTAAGGCTATAAAAAGCCGATATGTCTTGTCACTCTTTACCAGATACTGTAGAAGCCAAGCAGTAGGTTCCTCAGCGACACATTCGCCACCTGTCTTCACATTAGACGTCAGCTCAGTGTTCATCGCCAATACACAACTTTTTAGCTTCAGGTATAGAGTCATGGAAACTATATACGATGTAATATTTGTTACTCGACGTTCCCTGTACTAAATAATTGATGTTTGAAATACACTGTTTTATTTTCATGTCAAAAACGTCAGGAACTTAACAGTACAGAATTCATAATATATTCGTATTTCATTCATACTTTAGTTTTGTAATCATGCGTTTAATTCTCACCAGTCATGAAGTAAAATTCTAACACAGAACATAGTCACAGTTATCGTGTTGTGTTGACGGTTCCAGCAAATGGGGAATGGTTAACAGAAATATAGTATTTACTTATCTTACTTAACTTAACAGTGATAGCTTTTTTATATTTACATAAACCAAGCTTCAAGAACACGCAGATTTAAGCATTAAGATTTTTTCTGAATCTTATATATATCATTCTTTCTTTACAGAGACTTTCTTGTTCCTTTGCCTTCACTCAACAGATTTGAAAAAGATGGAGACTCTAAGCGCCGACGATCACACTGCCTACCACGTAAACGCCAAAGTCTTCAATGGCAACATGGAAAAACACGAAATCAAAGAATACTATTCCAAATGGGCCCACCAATATGAGAAGGTTCGATATATATATATATTGTGACAAAATAGTTTGAAAAAAAAATAGTGATTTTATGCTGTATTTTCGCTATTATTAAATGAAGTTCCAATGTTTAGCAATAGATATATATTTTTCATAGAAACATCCTAAAATTAATCCATGGTATTACTTGCGTACATTATTCTATGCGTTAAACATTGTTGACATGCAATGTATAACCAACATTTCCAATGTCCTTGTCAAACACTAGCAAACCACTCGTATCTTTTTAAGTTTTTATTTTAACTTAAAGTGTACAGTTTTTAAACCACGTCTTCCTTTTCCATTATTCGTAAATTTACGTGCACAATATTCCACAATTAAGTTTTAATTTCATCCAATTCATATATATATATGATATATCCATGTCACTTTCACCACTATGTGGCATTCTCAAAATTGATTCTCAATTTGATGTTAACTATAGGACCTTGCTCCTGGAAGATATAACGGACCAACAATGGCCGCGGAGACATGCGCACACTGCTTCAATGAAGATTACCGTGAGAATGTGCGGGTGCTTGATGTGGCAGCAGGAACTGGGGCCGTTGGTGAACAGGTTAGTTTTAAATATGATTATGATTGGTGAACAGGCAGTAATAAATATCATTTTAATTGCTGAGTTTAGAGTTATCTTTAAATAATATTTATATTTTTATATGAACTATTAAACTATTATATGAAACAATTATAAAGTCAAATTTTAGATATCGCTGGTTCTTTGTGTCTATAAATAAATCACGCCTCTCTATTATTCGAGGTGTCTAAGGTTATGATGAACTGGCCAGGTTTAGTAAAAGGTAATAAGCCACTGGTATGTAAACGGTCATGTCACAAAAGCAATGATCCTTAATCATGCAATAAAGACAAGAAGATAATCCAAAACATGTCAACATAATCACAATCCAAACTCAAATTAATTGATATTTGAAAATAGTCTCTATTCATTCTACATTTGTTTGTTTTCTTCAAAAAATAATAGTGAATATTTTGTGTTTTCACTATGTTGTAGCTGATTAAAAAAGGCTTTAGCGACATACACGCACTGGACCCATCAGAAGGAATGTTAGAAGTAGCAAAGTCTAAGAATGTGTACACAAAATTCTTAAATGAATACCTGACAGAAGAAAAGCTTCCGGTACCTGACGGTATGTATAAGAGCAGCTATGAACATTTTCACACATAAATGAACACACATGAAAAGTATCTCGCTTACACTTGTTCATGTTGTGAAGAGATTGACATACAGATAATATGTTATTGTCCAGACGGTTTTTAAAAAAATCTTATTGTTTCTCTGTCAGGTTATTACAACTGCGTTACGTCATCAGGAGGAATGGGAGATGGCCATATTCCCTGCGAGGCACTCTACGAAATTATCCGTATTGTTAAATCAGGTACAGTTCCAAATTCTCATGATAGTTGCATATTTTATTGTGGATATTTAAGTACTCTGTTGATAAACTGTGACATGTTAGATGTTTACAGTTAAATCTATACAGGTATAATAACTTTATATTGGGTAATATTGCAAGTTAAATTGGTTTCACAAACAATCAATTGCTAATTTTAATTTTCCATTTAATTATTTTGGCTAAATGAGAAGGAATTTCATTTGTAGTCGGAGTTTTAATTCCATCGATTAATTATATTGCTACTTACTCCCCAAAACAAATCAACTTCAACGTTGGTATTATGTTTTACAGGTGGATGTGTTGTGATCGTAATGAGAGAAGAATATATTTACAATGTACCAGAATACAAGGACCGACTCGAACCTCTGATGGATCAGTTAGAGGCCCAAGGAAAGTGGACCAGGATGGAGAGGCGTGTCGTTCCCAACTATGCCTTCAAAAAGAGCGGACTTATTTTTGTATATAAAGTACAATGATCAGTGAAGTTTAAAGAACATTTTTGATTTTAAAAAGTAAGCAGATAAGCTTATCGCTTCCTGCGACTAAATGAGATTATCTCGAATTCTGTTGGTTGTCCGGACTTGTGTTTTAACACTGACATATACGAGAGTAGGCTAGATCTTTGCAAGATTCTAACATAATTAGAAATGCACTTATGTTAAAGCATTTAACTTCAGTAAGTCGTATGTCAGAGTGAAATATACTATGTATATATGCTTTATGAGAAACCTATTGTGTGGTTGGTAGATCTTAAATGTATTGTGTTTTGTTTGTTGTATTTTGTAAACGAGTTCCGTATTATTGTATAAATGTAAATGATATTTGTTTGTTTAATAAATTATTGAAACGAATTTATTTGCATGTATATTTTTCATAATCAATTTGTCCATAAAAATCTTTGGAAATACCAATACACCTAGCCAACGTTGCTTTTCCATGGTCAACAAATATACATTTGTAAATTGATAGACAATACACGTGTCAAAATAATGAAAGGACTGTGATTATTGTTATAAAAACGACAAAAAATACCGACATGGAAACAAAACTTATCTTAACTCAAAATTAAAAAAAGGAGAAAAATAGGGATCACTTGTTAAAGATAAGAATATGAAATACATTAGTGAATCCAAACAATAAGAAAACAAGTTTGACCCACTTTGAATTACCCACTAAAAAAAAAGTTAAAGTCCCTATGGCGTTGAAACTTCTAAATGCTTCAGTGGGTTCAGCAACACTATCAATAGTGAGTGTGTCTCCATTGTTGGTCTAAATATCGGCACGACATCGGCTTGCTATGCGCCGTATAGTGGAATTCGTAGCCATACTGCAAGAAATAGTATCATCAAGTTACAGTTGGTTGCCAGGTCCATGTATGTTCGATCGGAATGAAGTCGAATGAAAGACTAGGCAAGTCCATACACTTGTTAGGTTTTGCTTGAAGGTTCTCATTCGCAAGTCTAGCTCTATGTGGTCGAATATGATCGTTTTTCAGTACAAAGTCAGGGCTGACAGCACCCAAAATTGAAGTCAGTTTGACCATCAAATCTTATCCCTGCCCATCCATTACCGAGCTCCCACTGAAACGGTCATGCCCAGTGACGCAGCAGTCAGCATACCTCTCGCCTATCCCACGCAGAACATGCCTCCTGCCATCATTAAAGTCCCACGAAAACTTGTGCTCATCCATAAGTAGAATAGGCCGCCACTGACGCAGTCGCCAATTCAGATGGTCAGCTGCCCAATGCTGCCGAGCTATACGTTGACGTTGTGTGAGTCGAGGTCGTACAGCTGGTCTGTGTGCGTGTAATCAAGAACTGTGATGGCTATTCCTCACTGCTTGTGCAGAAATTCTACCTGTTCTTGACGGAAGTCGTCATTCAGCTTAATGGAGTTTGCAAATCGATTTCGCTTATTAAGAGTGCTTAGATAACTATCCTGACCGGCTGTGGTACACTATGGTCTCCTCGACCAAGGTCTCTCGGTGACGTTTCCGGTCATCTGGAAGTGTGTAGCCACATTGTGGTTGTCTTGCTTGCAGCAACCTGACTGCCTCTGCAGCTGTCATGTGACGTCTCGGGCTAACAAACGTTCAAAACAGAATTCATTCGACAAGACATTCAGAAGAAATATAAATATTTGTTGATTAATTTGATGTTAAGTCCACACAGACTTTCAATTAAACCACAATTAACGCTTTGATTTTAACTATGTGTTACAAGATGTCTTGCAGCATGTTTACTGTAGGTTACACAGGCAAATCAATACTGAAAAGTTATTGTGCATACATTGGTTATAAAACAGTGGTCAAGTAGTGTCAAGCTCAATTTATTTCAATGGCAGAAAAAAAATTGCATATATTTATTATCCATAATGTTTTGTGTCCAGTACATTACATTAAATGCAATAAATAAATTCCAGAAAATGAGAAACAAGAAAAAGGAGAATTAGAACCGGTATTCCGAAAGCGTCTTCTGTTTCATCGACGATATCTGTGAGATAAAATCTTAGTCAGTAAGTAATGTCAAGTTCTCAAATAAGAATGAGATTTAAAATATACATACATCGATTACATATAACATTGTTCAAATGAAATATACATTGAATAAGATAAACTTTTCCAATAAATTTCTTGTTATTTAAAGACAAGACACCCATCAATATATTTAAAAGTGGATTACGTTCCGGCATTATCCGTGACGTAAAAGTCAATATAATCATATAATCAGTGTATTTACTTTGTTTTTTTTTTTATGACGATGAAAGATGTAGCTCACGGTTCCAAGCGTCGAAAGAAGGAAGGAAAAATCAATTCTAATTAAACTCCATTGACAACAGCTTGTGTATTTGCTCTCCCTTACAAAGGCACTAGCAGACATACCATATTTAATCATATCTATACTATTTTCTGCGGATATAAAGAACAGCATTTATTTAGTATTTTATGAATATTCATACAAGATTTAATATTCACTTTTCTTGCCGTTGCCAATTCATCATAAAGCAACTGAAAACACACCTTATAGGAACTTTTATCCATTCATATACCATTGAATGGGACCCCATTCACATTCTACAGTTTTAGAAAGGGTTTGAATGAAGATGACGTGGTTAACAAAATATATCTACCTTCAGAATTTAGAAAATCTATCTATAGATTTGTGATAAGGCATGCACTTGTACAAGGGAATAACATGCACATCTGTCAACACCGATTTAGAATCAGACACAGCAAAGTCAATGAAACAATATCATTGACTTGTTTTCTTCTTCTAGTATTCGTCAGTGATGCTAAGGGCCTAAATTTTGCTACCCAAGAAGTGGCAAAGAAAAAACCAAAATGATCAAATGAAATATAAAATTCCAAATGTGGAGGTGCACCAGAGCTATAATTCAATGAACTTCGTATTTTCATATTGTCTAATAATTTCAGAGGAACGTCAATTATTTGTTATATTCTAAACATTGCAACTATTTGAAAGAATTAAAGCGTGACATGCAGGCCCTCGGTAAACTTTGAGGATTTCTCCTTCCACCAGCTATGTCTATCACCTGCAATCTTGTACTTTCCATGTAAGTCAATGATTGGACACAGCAGAGTCAAATACATTGTAGTGAATTAAACTGAATCGTGTCAATGTTCGAATAAAATAAAACATGGCGGGAAGCTTATCATACACTATTAATAGATACTGTGCCACACGGAATAACTGATAAAGTATCTTAAGACATGATTCAGCAACATTATCTAATGACATGTCATTACACCGATTGATTGAGTACATGCAAAAAGAACTTTCATAGAAAAGTCCTCGACCAAGAGTGGCAGACATATTCATCAATGTCCATTACTAAAGTACCAAAATGATAAGAAAACAGATCCTTGAAATATAGTTATTATTTGACATGAGACTCATCCGCTAATACATCGACTTTAAGGGACTAAATTATTAGATATTCATTTTCATAACTGATGAAAAGCATCATAACATTTTAACTAGCTGTTAATAATTATGTACTTTCTGTTAATTATGCTATTTTAAAGTTTGCATAACCAATTCATAATAACGTCATTAAAGTAAAATAGGCGCCAGTAATCAGATATACCCAGACCAACACCAAAACACATTAGCTGTTCACAATATGGCCGAAAACCCACCTTTATTAAAATTTTTACCCCAGCACATAGAAGAGTTCGAACAAGGGACATACATTCATATCAACACTATTACTCAACTGTCAATATATATATAGTGGCGTGGCTCCTTCTTTCTTAAGAATAAAACATTATAACGAAAACTTTGAAAATAAATGTAACCCTGTTCATTCAAAGCACTATAACGTGAACACATATGTTTTGCAAAAAGTCGTTATGAAAGTGTGATGCTTTCACATTAACATGATGAGTAGGAAAAATAAACTTGCATAATTAAAAAGAAGTCCTTTACAGTAATCTAATTAAGCACATAGTCACTCTAGTAGGCTGGCATGGTGCGGGTGCGCTGAGGTCTAGAGGATGCATCCACGGAGATACAATCCCCTGGCTGTGAGCCCATGTCTGGAGAATCTGAACAAACACTTTCTGGTGACTGATTTGTATTATGGTAATTGTTAGTAGGCTTTCCGATGAGAATTGGCATATCACTTCTTGGGGAGTCCATTTGTGATTGAACGGCAGGTTCTGAGAGAATATTTGGAATATCTATAGGCGCCGCGGGCGATGGTGGAACATGAACCCCGTTGTCATCTTCATTGTCGCTATCAGAGGACGTGCCAAGGGGCAGATATTGGTTGGAGGAAAAGCCACTCGGAACACGATAACATTCGCTTAGTTTCATCTTGTACGACGAAGACCGTAGTTGATTGCCGGCAAACCTTTTGATGAAACACCATTCATCAGAGATGGAAACGATAAGGTATCTACTGCGAGACCTTGTTTTGTCTCTGTCAGTGACCATGTATACTAGGTCCCCAACGCACAGTTGGTTCTTGATCCTGGAGGGCTGACCAAATTTGTTTTTAGACCTTTCACTTGAAGAATGATTAGACAAGCGATTCTTGTGTTGACTCGCGATCACATCTCTGTCAGAGACCGGTAGTTGTTCATGGGTGTACTGATTGCGCTGTGTCCACAATTCGCGAGCTGATAAGCCAGTGTAGCGAAGACGCGAGTTTAATCGAGCTGTAGCTGTAGCTAAATCCAGCTCGGTTATGGGTCCTGCTTAAGGTGACAGGCGAAGTAGTTCTTCTTCGAGCTCACCGACAGCCTTTTCCGCGACCGGATTCTTGTTAATATTCTTTACGCGGCCGACTTCAAGTGTTATTCTGAACTGTCCGAGAATGTCGTCATCGTGTAGTGCTGAAAATCCGGGAGCCGGGTCGACACATATTACTGCTAGGGGACCGTCGAGTGGATGTAGATCGAGTGATAGGCATAACAGAGCATCACGGAGTGTGTTACGTTTCTCGTCCGCTA